GGTGTGTGGGGGGGATGTGGCCTAGGCCCTTGGCCCTCTACCACCCCAGCTTGGGAGAGCCTGGGGCACTTCCTGAGGTGGCTCAGTGATCATCACTGGGCTGGTTGCTCATGTTGGGGGCATGTGGCTGAGGCCCAAGGCCCCCCAACACGCCAGCTCAGGAGAGCCTGGGGAACTTCCTACATCAGCTCAGTGGTCGTTGATGGGGTGGTTGGGCTTGTCAGGGGGATGTGGCCAAGGCCCTTGGCCCCCACCCTTGGGACTGGTTGTGGGTGTCAGGGGGCATGGCTGAGGCCCCCAGCCCTCCACTCTTTCTGGCTTAGTAGCCCAGGGGACTTTCAATCTTTCTAGGTGTTCTTTGGTGAAATGAGACCTTTACTAATTAATATCAAACTTTGTCTCTGCTTGTGGGTACTTTGTTTTTTCTTTCAGTTCTGTGTTGGATTATTTGCTGATCCCACCACTCAAACTCTGCACTGGAACTAATTTGCTGTCCTTTGCTGACTTCTAAAATGGGGGAACTTCCTGGGGGGACCAGTACTTGAGCCCTGTGGTTGAGCTAAATTGCTGATTTGCTGTTGATTCCCTAGGGAAGGCTTTTTGTGCAGCTCAGGTTTTAATGGTTGACTTTATAGGTACTTCCAGTTCTAGTGAAATCTGGTGCACCTGGGTTGTATAGAAACACTGGTCTGGGCCTGAGTCTTTACATCAAACTGCACCCCATGCAATTCTGTATTCCTGACCAGTCTCCTCTGAGTGGTCCTATGCTGATTAGGAGGCAGGTCAGCTGTCCTAGCTGTGCCCCAACATTCCCTCGGTAGGCCCGTCTAACCTATTGCCTGTGCTGCAAACACTTCCCATGGGATGGGACAGTTGCCAGTCCCTTGCAATGACTCACTGGCCTCTGAGTGGCTCCTTTTTTTCAGTTGTTATGGCTCTTCAGTCCTATGTGGGTCCATGGGAACCCTATTAGTGGTATTGCTGGCCTGGGGAGGCCACCAAGGCCCTCTTCTCTCCTGCCACCTCTAAGCAACTTCATCTGAAGGGTACAGCTGCAGCTTTTGCCAGCTCCTGCTCCATGCGCTCAGCAGCTTCAGCCTGGAAATGGCCAGGATTTGAAGTGGTTGGAGTCGTTTTTTCTTTCTCTCATGGTGACTTCTCCCACCTTCATGTACTCGGTAGGTCTCTCCTCCTCTTCCCCTGAGCTCTAGCAGCACCAGCTTGGCTGTTGTTGCTTTTTTATAGTTGTAAATTGGTTGATTTATGGGAGAGAGTGACGCTGGGGACTGTCTATTCCGCCATCTTGACCAGAGGCTCCCTTTGCCTATTTTTAAATTGGGTTATTTGTTTTCTTGCTGTTGAGTTGTTTGAGTTCCTTATATATTTTGGATATTATCCCATTATCATATGTATAGTTTGCAAATATTTTCTCTCATTCCATGGGTTGTCTATTCACTCTGTTAATTGTTTCCTGTGCTGGGCAGAAGCTTTTTAGTTTGCCACGATTCCATTTGTCTATTTTTGTTTTTATTGCCTGTGCTTTTGGGGTCCTAGCCAAGAAATTTTTTCCAGACCAGTGTAGTGGAGCTTTTCCCCTATGTTTTTTTTCTAGTAGCTTTACAGTGTCACGTCTTATATTTAAGTCTTTTATCCATTTTAAGTTGATTTTTGTATACGGTGTGAGATAAGCATCCAGTTTCATTCTTCTGTATGTGGATATTCAGTTTTCCTAGCACCATTTGTTGAAGCAACTGTTCTCTCCCTATTGTGTGTTTTTGGCATCTTTGTTGAAAACAATTGACCAAACATACTTTGGTTTATTTCTGACTTTCTATCCTGTTCCATTGGTCAGTGCATTTGTTTTTTATGCAAATACCATGCTGTTTTGACTATAATAGTTTTATAAAATGTTTTGAAACCAGGTAACGTGATGCCTCTAGCTTTTTCCTTTTTTCTCAAGTTTACTTTGGCTATTTGGAGTCTTTTCTATTTTTTTTTAACATTATTTATTTATTTAAATTTATCAGTATGCAGTGTAGTTGATTTTCATGTCCCTTTACCAATTCCTCCTTTTCCTCCCTCCCTCTTCTCCCTTCCTCCCCCACATCAACGTCTGTCTGTTCACTTTTCTTAACAAGTTCAAGGAATTGTTGTGATTAGTCTTTTCTATTTCTATACAAATTTTAGAATTTTTTTTTCTATTTCTTTGAAATTGCTATTGGAATTCTGATAGGAATTGGGTTGAATCTGTAGATTGCTTTGGGTAGTACAGACATTTAAAAAATATTAATTCTTCCAATCATAAACATGGGATATCTTTACATTTATTTGTGTCTTCAATTTCTTTCATCAGTGTTTCATAGTTTTCACTGTACAAATCTTTCACCTTCTTGGTTAAATTTACTATTAAGTATTTTTTAATGCTATTGTAAATGGGCTTATTTTCTTAATTTCTTTTTCAGATAGTTTGTTGTTAGTCTACATAAATACTACTGACTTTTGTATGTTGATTTTTGTAACCCACAACTTTACTGAATTTATCAGTTGTAACAGGGGCTTTTTTGGTGGAGTCTTCAGGGTTTTCTCTATGTAAGGCTATGTCATCAGCAAACAATTTCACTGCTTCCTTTCCAATTTGGATGCCTTTTATTTCTATTTCTTGACTAATTGCTTAGGCTGAGACTTCCAGTACTTCTATGTTAAATAGGAGCAGCGAGAGTAGGCATCTTTGTCTTGTTCTTGATCTTAGGGGAAAAGCTTTCAACTTTTCACCATTGAGTATGACATTAGCTGTGGGCTTGTCAAATGTGACCTTTACTTCGTTGAGGTACATTCTTTCTGTAACTATTTTTTTGAGAACATGATCAGATGTTGACTTTTGTCAAATGCTTTTTCTGCATCTATTGAGATGGCCATGTGGTTTTTGTTCTTGATTTTGTTGATGTGGTGTCTCACATTTACTGACTTATGTATGTTGAACCATCCTTGCATCCCAGGGATAAATCCCACTAGATCATGGTGAATGATCTTTTTAATGTTCTGTTGAATTCAGGATTTTTTTTTATTTAAGATGACCAGTAAGGGGATCTTAACCCTTGACTTGGTGTTGTCAGCACCACGCTCTCCCAACTGAGCTAACCAGCCATCCCTATATAGGGATCCAAACCCGTGGCCTTGGTGTTATCAGCACCACACTCTCCCAAGTGAGCCATGGGCCAGCCCTGAATTCAGTTTGGTGTGGGGTTTTTTTGTTTGTTTGTTTTTGTTTTTGTTTTTTTGAGGATTTTTGCATCTGTGTTCATCAGGGATATTGGCCTGTAATTTTCTTTTCTTGTAGTGTCCTTATCTGGCTTTGGTATGTGGTAATGCTGGCCTCATAAAATGAGTTTGGAAGTGTTTCCTCCACTTCAATATTTTGGAAGAGTTTGAGAAGGATTGGTGGTAGTTCTTCTTCAAGTGTTTGGTAGAATTCAGCAATGAAGCCATCAGGTCCTGGGCTTTTCTTTGATGGGAGACTTTTTATTACTAATTCAATCTCCTTCTTCTTTACTGGTCTGTTCAGATATTCTGTTTCTTCCTTATTCAGTCTTGGTAGACTTTGTGTTTCTAGGAATTTATCCTTTTCATCTAGGTTATCCAATTTGTTAGTGTATAGTTGTTCATAGTAATTTCCTTATGATCTTTTATATTTCTGTGGTATGAGTTGTAATGTCTTTTTTCATTCCTGATTTTGCTTTAGTCATCTCTTTCTTTGTAGTCTAGCTAAAGGTTGTTGGTTTTGTTTCTTTTCAAAAAAACCCAACTTTTTTTTTTTTTTTTTTAAAGGATGACCGGTAAGGGGATCTCAACCCTTGGCCTGGTGTTGTCAGCACCACGCTCAGCCAGTGAGCAAACCGGCCATCCCTATATAGGATCCGAACCCGTGGCCTTGGTGTTATCAGCACTGCACTCTACCGAGTGAGCCACGGGCCGGCCTAAAAAAAAAAAAACCCAACTTTTAGTATCTTGATCTTTTTATATTTTTTTTCCAGTCTCTATTTTGTTTGTTTCTTCTCTGATCTTTGTTTCCTACTGCTAACTTTGGGCTTACGTTTTTCTTTTTTTTTTCTCTCTAGGTTCTTGAGGCATAAATGTGATTTGTTTATTTGAGATCTGTCTTCTATTTTGTTGTAGCCACTTGTTGTATAAATTTCCTTCTCAGGACAGCTTTTGTTGTATCCCATAAATTTTGGTATGTTTTGTTTCCATTTTTGTCTTAAAATGTTTTTTAATTTCCCTTTTAATTTCTTCTTTGACCCATTGGTTTTTCAGGAATATGTTGTTTAATATCTACATATTTGTAAGTTTTTCAAGATTCCTCCTATTATTGATTTCTAGTCTCATGCCATTCTGGCCAGAAAAGATACTCAATATGATTTCAGTCTTCTTAAACTTAAGACTTGTTTTGTGGCCTAACATATGGTATATTCTGCAGAGTGCTCTGTGTGCACTTGAGGAGAATGTGTATTCTGTTCTGTTGGATGGAATGTTTTATAAATATCTGTTAGGTCCATTTGATCTAAAGTATAGTTCAAGTCTGATGTATGTATTCTTATTGATTTTCTTTCTGGATCTGTCCAAGGTTGAAAGTGGGACATGAAGTCTCCCATTATTGTACTGCAGTCTATGTCTGTTCTGATCTATTAGTGTTTGTTTTATGTATTTAAGTGCTTCAGTTTTGGATGCGTATATACTTACAAATGTTATAACTTTTTGATTAATTAACCCCTTTTCCATTATATAGTGATCTTCTGTCTTTTTTTTTTTTTTTTTTTAACAGTTTTTGACTTAAAGTCTATTTTGCCTGGTATAAGTATAACTACTCCCCACTCTGTTGGTTTCCATTTGCATAGAATCTTTATCCATCCTTTTTCTTTTTAATGGGAAGTGACACTTCAAGAGTATTACAGTATTTTGTTTCATGCAAAGATAGTTAAATTTATCTTTTTTTTAATTTTTAGGATCTGGGGACTTCGGTGATAATTTTTATCTGGAGGATGCACTGAGAGAAACTTCCTCAGTAAAGCGTGAGTAGTAAATCAAATAAACTATTAAAAGCAAACAATATGGTTATGTACCACTCATTCAGAATACACATTCAAGGAAAACAAAAGGTGGCCTGTATTTCACTTGATCAGGTAAAACATGGTTATCATAAGTTGTATTATTTAAAAGAAAATCTGAATATTTAAAATCCTGTTTGAGAATACCTAACAATGTATAATAATTGATATAGCATTTTTTCTAGCTCAAGTCATAGCCTTTACTGGTGTAACATGCCAGCAATGTCCTCTAAGGATGTCTTCCCTAGCTCAGAAAAAGGCACATTGAAGTAAATAAGTGATTTGTTTCCCCTTTTTTTATTTCTTTTGTGTATGTGTTTTTAATTTAATTGAAACATTGATTGTACACATTTATGGGTTACAGAGTTATATTCTAATACATGTATATAACATGTGATCAAATCAGGCTACTGAGCAAATTCATTATCACAAAAATTTATCATTTCTTTGTGATGAGAACATTTAAGCTCCTCCCTTTTAGGCATTTGACACCATACAAAAAATTATTGTTAATTATAGATGCCTAGCACTACCATGCACCAATAGAACTTATTTTTCCTATCTAGCTGTCATTTTGTGTCCATTAACCAACCTCTCATTATTCCTTTTCCCTTTCCCCTTTTCTGCCTCTAGTAACCACAGTTCTGCTCTCTACTTATAAAAGTTCAACTTAATTAATTAATTAATTAATCTTTAGCTCACACATGAGTGAGAAGATGCAGTATTTCTTTCTGTGCCTGGCTTATTTCACTTACCATAATTTTCTTCATGCTCATTCATGTCATGAAGGCCTCTCTGAGGAAAAGTGATGTGCAAGGACAAGGCAAAGAGCCTTCGAGGCCAACGATGTGGAAACCCAAGTTGGGCTCACCTGGAGCCTGCAAGGCAGCCTGCGTGACTAGAGTGGAGAATGTTGGAGAAAAGAAGATCTTATAGGGTGCAGTGGTGACTTTTATCCTGAATGTAAGAGGAAGCTCCTGGAGGATTTTTAAACAGCTTTATTGGGATATAATTCACATACCCTACAATTCATCCATTTCAAGTGTACGATTCAATGTTTTTTAGCATATCCACAAGGTTGTACAACCATCACTATAGTCAATTTTAGAACAATTTCATCACTTCAGAAAGAAACCCTTTACCTAACATTTACCTAACATTCTTCAATCCCCCAATTATTCCTGTTCCCACCCCTCACCCCCAAGCAACCACTGATCTCTTTCTGTCTCCATAGGTTTCCCTATTCTGGACATTTTATATCAGTGGAATTCTTTAGTATACGGGCTTTATGTCTGGCTTCTTTCACTTAACATAATGTTTTCAAGACTCATCCATGTTGCTTTCAGGATTTTCCTCAACTCCCCTCTTCCCCCCGTGTTTTCCATGTCTCCCTTTTTCTCTCTGTGTATAATTGTCTCATGAGGGAACACACTTCTGCTTTTGCCAGTAAAACTTCTTATGAATGTCCCCATTTCCTAGGAGTGCTGTGGGCACTATGTTATAACAAAATGCCTTAGGTTGGGCCACTTATAAACAACAGAAATTTTATTTCTCACTGTTCTGGAGGCTGGGAAGTCCAAGATCCAGGTGCCGGTAGATTCAGTGTGTGGTGAAGGCTCTCTACTTCATAGATGGTGCCTTCTAGCTGTCCTCACATAGTGGAAGAGGCAAAAGGGCTGCCCCTAGCCTCCTTTGTAAGGGCACTAATCCCATTTATGAGGTTGGAGTCCTCATGACCTAATCATTTCCCAAAGGCCCCACCTCTTAATACCATCACTTTGGTGATTAGGAATCAACATGTGAATTTGGGTGGAACACAAGCATTTGGGCCATAGAAGGCACCATCGTGAAAATGCACCTGGGGGAAACTACCAGGTTTTTTTGTTGTTTTGGTGCAGCACCATATTATAGAGAATCACTCCTGATGGGAGCGCCATATTGCTGGAGGCATTTGCTGAGCAGCTATGAATCCTTTCCAAATTTGTCATTTTGAGGAAGACTTGACAGAAACTGGTTTACTTTAAGAGCTTACTGCTTTCATGAAGTTGACCTACTACTGTTCTTAGTCCTTGGTAAGTAGTTAGACTCTCCTCATCTCAATTATGAATGATAAGAAATCCCAAAGACTCATGACAAGAAAATCTGTAGTTAATAGTTTCTAAAATAAATTTTAAAAAAAGCATAAGTCCAAGCTCATGTTCTACATCACTTCAGGTTCAGTCTCTGACAGAGCAACTGGATCTACATGCATGTGAGGACCGTCTTCTCTTGAACTGTCACCTGCAGATCTACAGAGAAACCAGACTCTTCCAAAAATTGTGCATGGCAGGGCAGAACTCTCCAAAGCTATAGTAAGCAAGACTGTGTGGTATTGGCATAATGAAGATCAATAGAACAGAATTGAGAGTCTGAAAATAAACCTTTATATTTATAGTCAGTTACTTTTTTGAAGATGGGTAAACAAATATTTTTATGCAAGAGCTGTTTGAGTCATGTACATTTTAAGCTAATATTTACGTAAGTGGCAATTGCTTTTCTGAAAGTTGCTTAGATAACGGGCTCAGTAACATGATTCCTCTTTCCCACCTATCTGTATCACCATAATATAGATATACATAAAGAGCCTCCTTTAGACAGGTAAGCTGCACCCCTTCATTCTACAGGTGCTGAGTCAAAAGGAAATTATAGACATGAAATCTCTAAACTGATGAGCTAGGTTAAATACATATATATATTTATATATAAAATGATAGCAGGTTATCACATGTGGTTCTCTTACCATAAAAACCCGTGTACTGGTGTGGTCTTCACACTGAGGTATGCATTAGGGGACTCAGAGCCTTCCCAAGGAGTAGTGCACAAACGTGATCATTTTAAGGAAAACCCTTTTCATCTTTTCAACTTCAGAATATACTTAATACTAAAACTGAACTGTGAGAGAATATACATGCACTTGTGATGTGCTCACTTTTTCCGACCCTCTCTTTTTAAAAAATTAATTTATCAAGGTAACACATATAGTATAAAATGAACCATTTTATTTTTTTAAAATAAATTTTATTGTGTATATTTAAGGTATGCAAAATGATGTAATACATATAGATAGCAAATTCGTTAATGATAGTGAAGCAAGTTAACATCCATTATCTCACATAGACACGAGCAGCTAAAATCTATGTATTTAGCAAAAATTCCAAATATAATATTAACTATAATCCTCATATTGTACATTAAGTATCTAGATTTGTTTATCCTACATATCTGCTACTCCGTATCCTTTGACCTACATTTTTTCAGTGACATTTTAACACATTTACAGTATTGTGCAGCCACTGCCTCTATCCAGTTCCAAAACATTTCCATCACTCCAAAGTAAAATTCCTTATCCATTAAGCAGTTTCTCCTTATTCTTCCCACCCCTCAACCCACTTTCTATATCTATGAATTTATCTATTCTGGGCATTTTATATAAATGGAACCATACAGTACATGACTTCTTCTGTTTAGCTTCTTTCATGTAGCGTCATGTTTTGTAGGCACATCCATTTTGTAGCATGCGTCAGTGCTTCATTCCTTTTTCTGGCTGAGCAGGTGGATGTACCCCAATTTGTTTATCCATTCATCAGCTGATGGACACTTGGCCATTGTGAATAATGTTACGTACATGTACTTGTATGAATACCTGTTTTTAATTCTTTGGGGTATATACCTAGGAGTGGAATTGCTAGTTCACATGGTCATTCTACCTTTAACTTTTTGAGGAACCACCAAAATGTTTTCCACAGTGGCTGAACCATTTTATATTCCCACCAGCAGTGTATGAGGGTTTCCATTTCTCCACATGCTTGCCAATTATTTTTTATTATTATAGCCATCCTACTGGGTGTGAGGGGAACCTCATCATGGTTTTCATTTGCATTTCCCTAAATACTAATGACTAATGATGTTTTTATACATTTATCAGATATGATTTTGCAAGTATTTTCCCATATTGAAGGTAGACTTTTTAGTTTCTTGATAATGTCTTTAGATTCACAAAAGTTTTTATTTGATGAAGACTAATTTACCTACTTTGTTGTTGTCACTCATGTTTTGAGTGTCATATATAAGTATCCATTGCCAAATCAAAGGTCACAAAGATTTACCCGTTTTTTCTTCTAAGAGTTTTATGGTTTTAGATGTTATTTTTAGGTCTTTGGTCCATTTTGAGTTAATTTTTGTATATGGCGTAAAATAGGGGTCCAACACTGGAGTTTGGATGTGTTGTCCCGTCCAAAACTCATGGGGAAATCTGATCCCCACTGTGGCAGTGTTGGAAACTGACTGAGTCATGGGGGCGGATCCCTCATGAATGGATTAATGCTCTCCCTGGGGGAGGGGGGAGTAATGAATGAGTTCTTGCTCTATTAGTTCCCACAAGAGCTTGTTGCTTAAAAAGACCCTGGCACCTCTTGCTTCCTCTCTTGCTTCCTCTCACCATGTGATCTGCTTGTACCCACCAGCTCCCTGCCACTTTCCTCCATGAGTAGAAGCAGCCTGAGGTCCACGCCAGATGCAGCTGTCCCAGAATCATAAGCCAAATAAACTTCTTTCCTTTATAAATTACCCAGTCTCAGGTGTTTCTGTTATAGCAGCACAAAACAGACTAAAACAAACACCATTCTTTTGCATGTAGCAATCAAGTTGTCCAAGCACTATTTTTTGAAAAGGCTGTCTTTTCTCCTTTGAATGGTCTTGTCACCATATTGAAAATCAGTTGAACATAAATATGAGGGTTTATTTCTGGACTCTCAATCTTATAATGTTGATTGATATATGCATCCATGTGTCACTACCACACTGTTTTGATCACTGTAGCTTTCTAGTAAATTTTGAAATTGAGAAATGTGATTCTTCCAGTTTAACTTTTTTCGAGATTGATTTGTCTCAGTTTCATGCAATTCTATATGAATTTTAGGATCAGC